TCCGCAGCCTGTGGACTGCCGCGCGCCTCCGGGTCCGCTCAGCGCCTGCAGCCGCGAACGGGCCCTGGGACAGGTGAGTGTGGCCCCGGGGCCACCGAGGCCGATGATTGCCCGTGGCTGGGAAAAGCGCCGGAGCCGTGGCTGTGCCCTGCAACGCCCCTCAAATCGCCTTGGTTTTATGACTATGCTTTTCTTGGGGCGATTTATTTATTCTGCCTCCCCTTCCTGTAGGGAGGAGACAGGCTTGAAAGACTTCCGGGGCGTCGCTAGGGCAGAAATTCTGAGATTTTCTTTCCCCAGGGGGAAATTGTGCTGTGCTTCCTCCAGAAATTCCCAGCTTCCTGGGTAAGGCTGGGGTTAACGGGATGGTGCCCGCTGTGATTTCTCCTTGTGCTTTCTCAGATGGCTCTGAGCCACGTGGGGCAAATCTCCTTTCTGTCCTGATGCACCGCTGCCATAAAACATTGCTATCACAGATGTCTTCTGCCTCAGTTTCCCTGACCTTAATTATCTTTTTAATGTTATTTTGCTACTATGCAGGGTGTGGTTTTTTTTGTTGATGTCCTAACTTTATAGTTAAATCTCGCAGTAATTTTAAAATATCTTAGTTGCTCTGCTGAGTGCAACGGTGTGGGTCTGTCAGCATTAGGATTGCAGGCATAAGCTGGATAGGGCGGTGGCAAGTCTCCTGGCCGCAAGCGTGGCGTGATGTGAGCCTTCCCCTCCAGCGTAGGCACGTGGCCTCTTTCGTGCCCATTGAAAAAACAAGGCTAGGGAGGAAGAGGATGGATTTCAGCCCTTGCAGCCCCCTCTTGGCTTGCTGAGCATCTTCCTGGAGGTGACCTGGAGAGAAAATCCCTTCCTGCTATCCAGATGTGCAGTCCATGGCGGGTTGAGGATGCTCTCTCACAGCTCCCGTATGTCTCTGTCCCAGGTGGGAAGAGGAGAAGACAGGAGATGGGGTAAAGTGGAAGCAGCTGGAGCACAAAGGCCCCTACTTTGCCCCCCTCTATGAGCCGCTGCCCGATGATGTCCAATTTTATTACGACGGTAAGTCTGTGTTGGCCAGAGAGGGGGACGGTTGTCTGGAGGCAGGTGGAGTAAGAGGTGGCACTTCTCTCGGGGGAAACGATCCCTCACCCAAGTAGAGAGCCAACATATCCCTTTTTATCACTGAATGCC